GTTTCAATTTTGTGTTAATAGCCATGAAAAAAAAAAGAAAGAAAAATTGGGCTGACAAAAGATTTGCTTGCAAATGATCCTTTTGAAATATACTGATACATCATCCATCATGTATTTATTTGCTAATCGATCCGGAACCCGTTAGATACTTTCTAATTTTAATCATTTATGACCATTTTTTTTTAATCTACATGGTTAATATTACCTTCTAATTACCATCTTTACTAATATACATGCATTTGGAATCTTCCATCCTCAGCAATGTATATCTTGCTTAAAATATACACCCAAATTCAAATATTTTATTCACTATAAATCTTAGATCCTAGACACATGTATATCATTGCTAACAAAATCAACTAATGAATTATTAATCTTTCTGCAATTGAATAATAAAGGATGGTTCTTATAATCTTTGTTTACATACATTGCTAACAAAATCAACTAATGAATTATTAATCTTTCTGCAATTGAATAATAAAGGATGGTTCTTATAATCTTTGTTTACATACATTAAAATTTATTGTGTCAAATAAAGATATTATTTATGTTAATACTAAACTATTGTTAAATATAAACATACAAGTTACATTACTACATGCATTGATTTTACCGAATTGAGTAAAATTTACTAAAGAGCCACCACTATTGATCTTTCTCTATGTCACATCCTATGAAATTTTACTGGGGCAATTGAGAGTTTATTTTAATGTTGATTGACAGGAAGATGATGAAAAATATAAAACACAATTTATAATAACCGGACTCGAAAATTAACTCGGGATAATTTTTTTATTTTTAAATAATATTTTTTAAAGTAATTTTATTTATTTTAATTTAATTTTATTGATTTTTTTTGAGAAAAATGAATTAGGGACGAAATTAAAAGCAACTTTGGGAAAAATAGGTGAAATTTTGAGTTTAGGGGGTGTTTTTGAAAGAAAAATTAGAAATAAGAGGTTAAAATACAAAAAAGGAAAATTCGGCCATGTCGGACGACTCAGTCAGCAGCAACGGCGAACCAGAGCACACTGTGTAGAAAAACGTGCTGACATCGGTACCATGCGGGCGATCCGCGTGCTTCGTGATCCAATGGTCCTAATCACGTCCCGCGCGCATAGATGACTCAAATGCATTCTCTCTTTAGACGCAATCGGACGAACGAGATCAATCACGATGAACGATCCAGAATCGCCCACGCAATCGACCTAAACAGGCAACGATCAGACAACTCTCCTGCCTCCACATCGACGCGAATGGATGGTCCAGATTGACGCGAGATGAGTATTTAAATATCGCATCTCAGAGAACCCTACCTAGTCGCATCTGCCCTCGCCGAAAATAAAGGACCAAACGCCGGAGAAGGAGACCGACCACCTACCGGCGCTGCACCGGAGCCATCGTCGATAGTTAAAAAAGGTAAAATTTTCTCATTTCTGCTTAGAATTTGATTCCGAGGCTCCCTGTGGCTATATCAGAGCAAAAGGGACAGCAGGTGAGCCGAAAATTGTGGCCAAAGCCCGAAAAAACTGTTCTGGTCAAAACCCTAAAACTCCTCCGATGAGCTCCTTTTCGTTTTTCATTCCACACGATTCTTTAACCATTGTGTTCACTATCCTTTTATGTGCAGGTTAGCCGAAGAAGAAACCCAGCTGCGAAGGAGAACTAGCAGAGCCATCGCAGCAGAAGATTCCCTGCCAGTAAGTTTCGTTTTCTTTTTTATTTTCTAGCCAACCAAGGTCTCCTAACGTATTTTTCTGCAGGGATACATATAAAATCAACTAAAACTCACAAAAAAGGTCAGGTCGAGGTGAACCATTGCTATGAGCGGTGGAGTTGGTGCCAAAGCACGACGATGCTGTGTCAAAACCCTAAAATTGGCCAGAAAGGATTTTCAACATCAATTTTGGATTTTATAGGGTATTTTTAGGTACGTGAGAGTATTTTGATTTCTGCAAAGAAAATTTAGAGAATCTGGGACCCGTTATGAGACGTAGTAGATAGTACGATATTTCAAAACGCCGATCTGGGTAAAGATTCCTCACCCTATTCTTTGTTACGGTAAATTAAGACTTAATAATTAATAATCCCGTATTTTGTAAAAATTTAAAAAACTCTAATAATAATTAGATATTACTAGTGGAGATAGAACTAGTCAATGTACGATTGCCCTGGTTTACTGTTTATTTTTTTCTATGTTGTTTAAGATGTTTACTGTTTCATTATGTGCATTAAATTTCTAGTTTAAAATGTTTCTCGATTACTTGGTTTATTTGGTTTCTCTTATACTATTTAT